AGTATGGGTAGTTAAGTAAGGCATGGGTAATGATTCACAGGTTTATAGCAAATGTTATTTTTCTTTGGAGTCTGATAAGGAATCGTCTGACCTTGCAAGAAGATTTCTTAAACACATCTCCTCTCCCTTCTCATAACACACAGAATATAGACGGAACATTCACCCTATCCCGACTTCTGTTAGATATATTTCTGTAGCCAAGTTCCAGTTACATTTTATTCCATAATCATAATGAAAACATGAACTGTTTTACAATTTGACTCTGAAAGTTACAATTCAATATGACATTGGTATTATGAGTGCGGGATGTTTCTTACGCAGCGCCCTGTAGGAGTAAAGGGTACATTTGCTGTTACAGCTCCAGTGCTGCCTGCCCTGTGCCATTCTGGGAGAATGTGTCAATTGCTTCTTCACTTTGTGTTCAAAATCTTGCCCCACTTTAACTTTTTGGTATTTCTGAACTGTGCCTTCTTGCATAACTGACCTGGTTCCCTTTGTTGCCTCTCTCCTTCCCTCCCTCCTTCCCTGCTTTCCTTTTTTGCTTATTGAGGTAGGAGACAGGGACCCTGAAAATACAGTTAGGGTATCAGCCTAGAATAGAATTACAAATTGGCTAAGTTTTGAGATGGAGGCAGTGGTGGCTCAGCGATTGACCTAGGCAGCAAGACCTAGACCTAAAACATAGGCTTTTTCCGTGCCCTTCGCAATCCAGAAATAAGATAACGGTTTTCATGGCCCAAAGCTTCTAGCCAAAAATTCTTCTGATCTTGGTACCCATTCCAAAATTATGAAAATAATTACACCCATCGAGCATGCATCACTCCCCACCAGGAGGGAAATACGCACAAGTCCCACCTAAAGTAAGTCTGAACGAAGCCCTTCCTGACCCAAATAATAACCCCTTACCACAGTTCTTCTTTAACAACCCACTTTCCAAAACCTCTCCTTTATTAAAGACTCTCCCTTCCTCCCCTCTCTTTAAATTAATTCCCCCCACTTTACTATACCTATTTTGTGACTCTAAATCTTCTTGAGTGTAAAATAAAAACATGTGTCTCGCTACAAGTGTGGGCTCAGTCACCCCTGCACCCTGCGTTCCTGTGTCATATTGATTCTGTTTGCCTTTATTTTTTAGCTTGTTAGAGAAAGAAAGATTCCTTTTCATTCTGTTCTTTATAACTTCCAGACTTTAACCTGCTTTAGTTTTCACTTAGAAATGAATTCTTTAGGTCAGTATTTCCTGATCTGCTTTAAATTGAAGGCTAGTTGATTTAGCTTTTTCTGGACTCTTAGCTGCCTTTATAGTTTCTTGATTCTCGAGTCTCTCGTTCTCTTTTTTGCATCTCCACGGATTCTTCTCTCAGTTACCCCGTCCTCTGCCCTAACCTGGACGTGCCACTTCTTAATCTATGCCACATTAAAATTTGGGGACTTCCTTTTGCTATTGCCTGCATCACAGCCACTGTCGGTGAATGTTTAATTAACAATAGGGTCTCAAAACAACTGAAGAGGGAACAGCAGTTAGCGTAATGGCTATGTTGCTGGATTGCCACATAGTCGACCGCAGTTCACATCCCAGACCTGGTGGCTTAAAACTCATGCCAGGTGCGTGTGCGTGTGTGCCCAAGATCCTGAGAGGAGAACGAAGTAGAAGGGATTGCAGCGTGGCCATCCCCCCTGGGGGGGGGTGATTTCTCACTTTCTGTCTCTCTGTCTCTGTCTGTCTGGCGAGCGCACACGCCTTATAGCAAAAACCTCTCAAAAAAAAAAAAAAAAGAAACAAACCCTGATTTTTAGCACTTCCTGATTTTCTTATGAATTATTATGATCAAGGCTGAGAGCAAGTTCCCACTTGACTTCACTGACCTTGGACTTGGGAAGAGGTGCCTCAGATTGCTTCCCAGCCAGTGCCTGAGATTCCAGCACCAAACAGAACCATTTTAACAGAGAAGTTTCTAAAATGCATTCCTACTTCTCTGAGTTAAAACAACCTGGAAATTATTTTATTTTCTTCTATGGCCCTGGATCATTAAAACTGTTATCCTCTAGGGCAAAAAGTGATGTCTCTAGAGATTTTGACAATTAAAGAGGAGATGCTTGCTGGTGAGCTAAATCACTGAGTAGCTTAAGATGAAAATTAGTAAAATAATTAATAAAATGAGAAATACTATATTAGCTTATTTTTTTTAATTTTTGTTGTTGTTATTTTGCATTTTAAAAAATAATGCTCAATGCTCAGGCTGGAGGGTGATGCTGTGGTCAAGCATGAGACTTTGCAGGGTGGGCCCACATGGGAGGCTCGCCAGTTCAGGACAGGGGATCTCCAGGACACTGCACACAAGCACGCCCATGATCTAATCTGGTCTGGAAGAGGCTGAGAGTGAATTCCAATATCAGGACCCTGTCATAGGTGCTGTATTTCTCTCTTTCTCACCCTCTCTTTCATGAAATAAATAAACTAAAATTTTAAATGTGAGACCAGCAGATAGCATGGTGGTTAAGGCTCTGAACTCCCACATGTCCGACTGCTGTTTGAGTCCTGAACCTGGCTGCTTGCTTTCTTGATTTCCTCTCTCTCTCTCTCTGTCTCTCTCTCTCTCTCTGTCTCTCTCTGTCTCTCTCATAAGCATGAGTGCCCTGTGTCAAATTAACAGTGATAATAATAATAAATGAAATTAAATAACTTTTTAAATTTAAAATATAATAAAACACAATACTGGAATCTAGTTTCCATAGTTGGTATACTTGTTACTGCTGCTCTTTAGCTTGGTCTTGCTATGATCCCCTCCCTGTTTTTGCTGACCTCTTATTTGTGCTCTTATATCAACCCATCTCAAATCCATTTTTTTGCATTCTCAGGGAATAAATATTAATAAGTAGAGAGATGGAGTGTCTTGAATAAAGAATGCAGATTTTCTAATAAGCAGCATTAATTTGGCTTCTCTTTGATTACATGTGTTTTCTTTAACATCATGAAAGAGAATGCTATCCATGCATCTTCTGACAGGAAAGAAAATGGGTTTTTCTCTGTTTGAAAAGTTCACTTTAAAGGTTTTTGTGATGCACGACAGCTTTAAAATAGGGTTGCTTTTTAGAATGAATTGCCTGCAGCTGCTCTTCAGGGTTTTTTTTTTTTTTCCCAGAGTACATCTATCCTGTTTGGATGTTAAAAAACAGTGTATATTTATATCACTGATGGGCCAATAAATAAAATGCTGCATTTTTAGGGGAAGGTTCCTGGAAACTAATTAGAGCCACCAGCAGAGACAGTCAGGAGATTGCAAAGCCCGGGCTCCTGCTTCCATTGCTCTGACCATTCGTGTTGTAGCCATTTCTGTACAGTTGTGGGTGCAGAAGAGGGTGACGAATCACTTCATGAGCAGGAAACACCCGTGAAGTGAGTGTGGATCCCGTGTCGTCATCTTTGGGCATTAGTTCTTTTCTCTTTTCCTCTACAACTTGCTGAAGGCAAATCTTAACCAAGGCAAATTCAGCTTACTGGATGGAGGACATCTCTCTGTCTGAGGAAATTAAAGCTACTCAGACAAACACCTGCCACATTACTGAGCAGCACCTGGGGTGCCATTTTCATTTCAGAGCTGCAGTTTCTTGTGCCATCAGCACAGCTAATCCCTGGATCATTTTACCAGAATTATTATTTTATTAAAGTAAACCTAAAAACATGCCTGATGTGTATAAGATTAGGATCCAAATAAAGCAGGTGGAATTGTAAAAAAATTTAGATATAGAATGTAAAAATTACCATTTGTACATGGTAATGGCACTGTTGGTATTCAGTGGACTATCTGATATTCATCTGTTTAATCATAAGTACTTCAAGTATATATTTTGATCCCTAAAATTATTTAAAAATGTGGTTGTGGATGATGTGAGGTTACTAAACTATAGCATGTCTAAAATTGTTATGGGTCTATAATTTTTATTTCAGTGTTTATAAAGGATTTTACCTAATTTAAGGTGAAATTTCATGTAGCTATGTGATCGCAATAAAATGTGATTCAAAGGGATTACTTAACTGTTAGATCAAGGCATTGAACCCAGAGTAAGTCACTGGGAAGCTTCATTTCTAAAAAGAGATTAGTTGTTATTATCATCGACAGTCTAGTAGAAAGAATAGAAGCAAAATGGACTGGTTCATGTGTATTTCACACAGGAAAGCAGGGATGCCTGAGAGTGTTTGTTTTGCCTTGTCTTGTTCTCTTCGTTTCCAAAACGATGCCAGCTCTAGTACTGCAAGATGGTGGTATTGGCTATTGTTCCGAGTATGTTATACTAAACCAATCATTTTATCAAAAACAATACACTTAAGTCATAACACTTCTGTCTGGATTTTCTATTGTAGGAATTAGTTAAGGAATAAATCTCTAGACCTTCAAATAGATTTAAAATCTATTTGTATTTGAAGTCATAATACTAAAGTTGGTTATCTTGGTGTGAGAGTCTGTCACTACAAACTTCATGAAGGGCCAGCAGGTGGCCTGGAGGTTAAGGAGCAGGATCCCACATGACTGAGGGTTAGAGTCCTGGACCCAGCAGCTTGAAAATCACTCCAGGTACATGTGTGTGCATGCCCAAGAGCCCAAGAAGAGAATGAAGAAGGGATTGTGGCATGGCCAGCCACCCTGTGGAGTGATTTCCCACTTTCTCTCTCTCATTCTGGAAAGCGCATGTGCCCTGTTGCAAAAACAAACAAAAATTCATGGAAAGTGCCTTCTATGAAAAAAGTGTGTATAATTTTCAATTTTTTTGACCCCAAATAAACTCATACTTAATTTTTTCACAAACTTTTTGAAGTCCCTTCATATTTTCTGAGAGAAGTTATACAAAACATGAAGTAGGTATCAAAATTCTAGTGATAATGATGTCTATAAGTATGACTGAAATTTAATATGCACACTTCTCCAGCCTTGAAATCAAGATTAAACTAGTATAATGAGGTTTGCATTAGATGCTAATGAACCCTCTTTGCTTTGTTGTAGCTCTCAGCGTTAGAGAGGCAGATCTTTGACTTCCTTGGCTTCCAGTGGGCACCTATTCTTGGAAATTTTCTACATATAATAGTTGTCATATTGGGTTTGTTTGGAACTATTCAATACAGACCTCGATACATCATGGTGGTAAGTCTTATTTTTATCATGTCTGTTCATATAAACACTACAAAATTGCTGGGAGATGATGAATAAAATGACTTAAGTAGACTCCTCCAATATAATGTATTGCTGTGTTAGCACTCAAATAGTCAGTTAAGAAATGTTTATCTCACAGGGTCAGCAGGTAGTGTCATGTCCAAGGTGCTAGACTCCCTTGGCCAGCCGTGGTTCGAGTTCCGGACTCAGCGGCTTGAAACTCACGCCAGTTGCATGTGAGCATGTGCACTCCCAGAACACCAGGAGGAGAGTAGAGAAGAAGGACAGCAGCGTGGCCATTCTTTTTGGGGGGTGATTTTTTGCCTGCTGTCTCTTAGAAGAGCACATACCCTGTAGCAAAAATCTGTCTCTCTGTAAAGAGAAACGTTTAACTATGAGAAAGGCAACACAATGAATGTTTTAGAATAAGAACAAAGCAACACACCCATAAGTGTGTTGTGACAGTGCAATGCGCACCATAACTGTAATCAAATTTTACAACTAAATTTATAACAGGCTTTGGAGAGAACAGTAGATCTATTTATAGTCTTGATGTTAAGAACAATGAGATGCAAGGTACATTACCTGTCAACGTATTAATGTATTAATATATCGTTAACGTTCAGTGATGCCTTTCACTAATCCTCAAAAGCAAACCTATGCCACATAATTGTTTAATCGTTGAAAACAATATACAGTTTAATTTTAATTGATTTAGGACATTATAGATGCATGTACTAAAAATATTTACTGTATACTCCTAATGTATTTCCTAAGGCATGTTATTACATGTTTCTCTTTTTGTCAAGATACTTTGCAAACATCAATCCATAGTCTATACTGTGAGATGAAGGGGTCAGCACACTCCATTGTCCGACAATTTAATGAGATGCTAAACACAAGCAAGAAAGCCCATGTATAAAAGAAAGGTGTCATATGCCTCAACCAAGACAGTAGCTGTGTGAACAGTGTGTGGGGCTACTATGTAGTGGCTCAAAGTAACAAGACCGGATAGTATTGCTATGGAAGCTTTCAGTTTCATTCTATAGAAGCCACTGGTTTCATAGCCATCTGGCATTTTGTGACTCAGCAAAACACCAACAGCATAAAATAAAAAGCCTGTGATGTGTAAAATTGCTCTCTCTATATTCATAGTAACAAACTAGAAGCTATTTAGAATCCAATAATAGTTTGATAATTATGCATGATTTTAAAGTATATTATACTGCAATCCAACTCCAAAAAACACCTTCCTGGTAGATTATACAGTTGCTTAGCAGCAGTTAGCCTCAAGATGAAAAAAAGTAAAGCAGACATTGTTTAGTCCCTGCAGCAAACTGAGTGAGGGCAGACACACCCAGGGCCTTTTAGAATGGAGGCTGCTGTGTGGGCCACTTACCTTCTCCTCTTGATATTATAAGAGATATCAAAATGCCCATTTTAAGATTCAAAATAAAGAATTGGTTCATTTACATATAAAATGGAAACTTTATTGTTCTTGGAAAATGTGATCAGATTAAATCTGCAGTCTGAGTGTTGAGGGAGTCTATCAG